CTTTGAACGCGATGTCACAAATGAGCTTAATTCAGCTTTTTGGCACTCGTACAATGTATTAGGTTGTCCGGAAATTAATGTCCGTTCTGAATTCCAACCGCAAAAACTCATACACTATTCATTCTTAAATAGGCTTCAAAGTACCGTTTGATAGAGCAAAGCAAGCTCTACAAGGTGGCGATCTCGCTTTAGAAACAGTTCTGGTCCGCCTCAAGTTTTGAGCCAAAAACTAAAAAGATTCAACTGCCCGAAAAATCAAGAAAAATCATAATTTAGTTTGCAGGAATTCTACAAAAATTCTAACTTGCTCATGTAAACACTATCCACACAAGACATCTATGTACGCCGTTGCCGTATTTTTTTCTTTGTTAGAAATCAAGAAAACGGAAATTTTTATGCTTTAGCCAAAGTGATGCTGTGCCGTCCCCACATAAGTAGATGTATGCTACAAATCTGTAGAAGTACAAACGTGGACTTGCAGCTCTTTACAAGCTTTAGTTCTCGAGAAATTTGAATTTTAGATTGGACCACCTGACTAATGAAAGCTATAATCAATATTTCTCGAGAACTGAAGCTTGTAGAGAGCTGAAAGTCCACGTTTGTACTTCTACAGAATTGTAGCATACAGGGCTTATCAAACGCAGTGTCGCTTGCGTCAGCATCTCCACTCCCGCGCTGGACTCTGCGTCTCTTCCGCGGATGTGCTCTCTGACCACTTTCCCAGGGCGAGCGTGGGAAAGGCGCAGCCTCAATCGATCGGAAGTGATTAGAGAGCATGTGCGCGGAAGAGACACAGGGTCCAGCGCGGGGGTGGAGATGCTGATGCAAGCGACACTGCGTTTGATAAGCCCTGTACATCTACTTATGTGGGGACGGCACCGCATCACTTTGACAAAAGCATGAAAATTTCCGTTTTCTTGATTTTTAACGAAGGAAAAAATACGGCAACGGCGTACATGGAGGTCTTATGGATAGTGTTTACGTGAGCAAGTTACAATTTTTCTAGGTCTCTTATGAAATGAGTTATGATTTTTTTCGATTTTTCGGGCAGTTCACTCATTTTAGTTTTTGGCTCGAAACTCGAAGTGGATCAGAGCTGTTGCTAAAGCGAGATCGCCATCTTGTAGAGATTGCTCTGCTCTATCAAACGGTACTTTGAAGCTTATTTAAGAATGAAAAATATATGACTTATTGTGGTTGAAATTCAAAACGGACATTAATTTCCGGACAACTTAATAACTGGAACTAACAATGCCTGTTTTTGCCGCCATGAGATGCGAAGTTGGCCTAGCGATGGCTGGAAGTGCCGCATCAGCAACACTTCTTCGCATTCAGCTTACCGCAGAAAAAAGACGAGTTATCGGAATTTCATTTATTCGGAACTGTGTGAGTTTTTCTTAATACATTATTTTCTATTTTTCGCTGACATTTTGGTAAATACTGAACACTGCCTAGCTATGTTACCACGCAAAAGCAAGATTAAAAATAAAAGCGAAGATTTTGAGGACCGGGTCGTTCTTGTTGCAATTCAGAATTGGAGGGTTGTATCAATGCGACATCAAGTTGCATTCGAAGATGTCATAGCGTTCTTTTTGACATTCATACTCACACCTCTAGTGACACCGGTGTTAAAACGATGTAATAATGATCGGCTAGGTACTCATCGGAAACTACATTGGGAATTCAGACTTCTCGTCTGATCTAACGTGCTTCACAATGCAAGGCGGCATTCATACTTATGGCAAAGTTCCTTTGACAGTTTATTCAAAACCTCGCAATTATAATGCGCCAACATGAAATGCTTCGAAATTCTGAGTGGAGCTTACAGGCTTATCAATCAAAGTGTCGGGTGTGCCAGCATCTCCACTCCGCGTTGAACTCTGGTCTTCCGCGGGACATGCTCTCTAATCACTTCCAATTTATTAAGGCTCCGCCTTTTCCACTCTCGCCATGGGAAAGTGCTCAGAGAGCACGTTGCGCGGAAGAGACGCAGAGTTCAGGTAATCAAATAAGCTCACCTTTGACGTTAATATCTAAAAGAGCTTCTCACGCTCTATCCATACATATGTAGTTTACCTCAACGTTTCCCATCAAAAAGAACGTGGCCAAAACATGATTTTAGTCTGAGAATCTGCGCCAAACATCGCACTTTTTCGAATAAAGTGCCTCTCTTATACGAATTATGAAAAATTTCTGTATGTAAGTAATCATTAGAAAGAGCTTAAAAAGCTTTTTCGATTGATTTGTCACGTGTTTAGGGACATCGAAGTACAGCAGCACAAATTCGGATCTTCTTCAAAGCGCAGGAAGGATTGTGGGTGAGATGCTGCAAGGGCTGTCAAAATAACCTGAGAATGTCACTTTATAAAATCTAAAAATTGCTGGTTGTTCGTAGTTAATTAAAAAGAGAGAAAAGCGTTCAAAAAAATTAAGGTGCAACATAATTTTTAGACCATCCCAATACTTTTCTTTGACAATGTTATGAGAGGAACGCTGTACACATTCCGTTTAACAAAAAGTCAAATTATTTGGTTTACGCAGCCTGATTTAGAGAAAAGTCCACTGTAAGAGCAAAAGCTAATATGTTGCTTTGCTTGGAAATCTACCTTTCAAAATCGAATATACCTTTGATTTTTTTCATGGAGACTTTTGCTAAGCACTCCTCGCGAAGAGCAAAGTCAGACCAAAAACATAACATAGGTGTTATTATTATATAGCAGCCCATTGTTGGCTAGATAATGCCGCTTACAATAGAAAAATGAGAGAAAAACAAGATGCGCGTGATTTAGTAAAAAGTGCTCACACATGTTTCCCATATAAATGATTGGTCCTAGAATAGTTGGATCCACAAAATTTTTTTTGTGACTTGTTTTAGTGAAATCTCTTTGATCACGCGCATTAGATTTGAGCTCTTTGCAACAGCGATTCGTGTGCTGTTTAGGGGTCAAAGGTTTAAATCTTTTCATTCCTTATTGTTAGTTTCAAAATGTTATGTAATGTAGACTTTGGCTACTGATCCATAAAAAATGGCTATTGACTGTACATCCATTGGTCTCATTATCACGATATTAGGAGTTATCAAGGTATTGAGAATTTTGAGCCCCGACTTGCGACTTGTAATCCATCGCAATTTTCATGTCGATACATCATTTGTTTTTCTCATAAAGCTTATATTGAGAGCTGTTGAGTAAGATAACCAATACAACCTTGAAACATGCTGATTTCGAAAAAAGAATAGAGTTTAAAGAGAAGAGAGTCGACCGATAGGAATCACTCACCGAGGGATCAAATAAAAAGATGGAAAATACGGTTTGCGACTTCTTGTTTCTGTGTAGATGTCTGTAGTAGGAGGTAATAAAAGCACTACGGGTAATTAAACTACGTGAAATCCAGATTTCTGAGTCTTCAGAATACGAATCTTTCAAGTTGTGTTCCCCTTTCCGGGGCTGATGCCAGTGCACGGCCCCGTAGTCTACGCAAAAAGTGAAAGGCTTTAATGAGCAGTAGCAAATGACCAACTGATACCATCACTTAGCACAACTCCTCAACATACAGCTCAGATAAGCGCCGGGGGCATGCGGCCATGCGATTTATAGGAGGGCGGGGACCGGAAAAATAGTCCGCTGATTTCTTGCAGTCCGCTTGCAGATATTGAAAAGAATTTTGGCGAACTTTTAGACGAATACTTGGAGAACAATCGCGGTTTCCTTATAAATTAGCTGCGGCGCAGTGGCCGCATTCTCGCGGACTTTTCGCGAGAATATGCAAAATTTTCGAAGGCCGCACGGTCCTTTGTGGAGGACCGCGCAGCCCCAGGTACTTTACGCTGAGAGCAAGTACCTCAAACTTGAGTAATTAAACCATCGATGACACCTTTACCATTTAGAGTCTCACCTCTGCTCGGCGTACGGCCGAAACTGCTTAAAAACCGTCCAAGCGCCAGCTGAAAATTTGACTAGCGCTCGCTAAAAGAGATTATTGGACGAGCGCCTGCAGAAAATTCTGTGTTGCTGCCCGCTGGCAGAACATTAGACAGTAAAATAAGTACGCTCGCTGAAGGTTTGGCCATGACCCAAAATTCTGCTGACCGCTTGCAGAAAAGCGCGAGTTTGCGGACCGCCTGTCCCCGGCGATTATCTGAGAGGGTATCCCAAAAGTAAGTACACACTTTTCAATCGTTAATACTCTTCCCTTTGCCTCTTTTTCCGTCACTTGAGTACCATCCTGTAGAGCAGGCACTTCAACTTAAATTTGCAGTATTGAGCAAATCACCGATCGCTTTTTGTTACTGTAGGATTACGGTAAGAGCTTCCAGCATGTGGGACCATGTTGAAATATGCCGTCTAACAAAGTTTTTTCTCAAAAAAACCCCGAAAAGTCGTGTACAAGGTTTTTCGCCACGTTGGTTCCACAACACAATTTTTTACGAGTGTCTTCAGCTTTTTTGACGGTGCAATCACATTTCCGACAAGTACTGAATTTCGGTTATTATGTTCTACTTGGGTTAACTTTGGAAAAAACATCACAGTAAAGTGAAAATTTCATATTCGAAATCAGCGGCTTCCATTATCATAGTGTAAGAGTTTTTGGCTTGTTTGGTTTTGTTCCAAGGTAGAATATGGCTTCCAATGGGCTGAAACCCTTGTCGGGGTTCCTACACTAATCCTACAGCAATCAAGAGCGATCCGTGATTTGCTCGATACCGCAAATCTAAGTTGAAGCCTCCTCTACAGAATGGTACTCAAGTGACGGAAAAAGACACAAAGGGAAGAGAAATATTGACGATTGAAAAGTGTGTACTTACTTTTGGGACACCCTGTATAATAACCCAAATCTCTAAGAATGATCATCCTACTGCTTGCCCCTACTGCGACAATAGTGCTCACTCTTTCGGTTCCAAAATGAAGATGAGAATGAGAAAGGAGTTATAGATATGACATCGTACATTTACATTTTTTCCAGACGCACCTGCTTTACCCAAAATCAAGCGATACGCATCAATGTTGAGTCTGAATCCTTTCACATATCATTATGTAATCTTTACCGTAAGTAATCTTTTTTCTGCGCACTTCACAAACCGCAATGCCAGATCACTTCAGATCACACTGACGGCTTCTGCAACCTCCGTCAGCCATGATTGTGATCCCAAAAATGAAGCAGCTATTCTCGCCAAATTTTGTCTGAATTATACGTGGGTATGCACATTTTCGAATTTATCTTGACTCTTTTGCGGAAACCTTACAAGCCAATGGGAAGCCAAAATTTTTAGCCATTCTTTACGAGGAATATCCAACAAAAAGATGTTTGTGACTGACATATGACTAAGGCCCGTATGCACGTACGTCCCCGCTGGGGAGGGGAGAAGAGCTGGATCCCCGGGGGAACGATCCCCTCCGCCGAACCCCGCCATGACAGAGGGGAGGGGAGCGATCCCTCCCCTGCATCTAAGCGGGGATGGTGTGAATGGTTTCAGAGATATTGATCGAGCGAACCCCAGTGCGGGGTTCGAATGGGGGAGGGGATCCCTTCCCCTCCCCCACTCGAACCCCGTATGCGCGAATTTAACTCAACAACGCGGGGGAGGGGATCGACATCTTCTACAACGGAGTAGGGGTTCGATGGTGTAGGTCAAGCTAGAGAAGCGAGTATTCTGATTTGAATCAATTATTACAAAGCATTTCGTTCAAATTGCTAAAAGATTTTCCATGGTAGTCGGGTTCCTCTCTTAGCGACCTGTAGCTTGCAGCTTTGTCTCTCTCTCTTCTATATTCGCTTTTCGTGAAAATCGGGCATGTATCTGCCAGTTTCGAATATCTGTAGAAATTTGTGACAATTCATAAGATTTGCGCATTTTCTATTTGACATGATAGTTTTATCCATTGAGGCTGATACAACATATTGTATTGGGTTGTTTCAAAAGTTCCACCCGTTTTCGAACTTTGACTTTGATTCACCATAACTCTTCTCAGAAATAATCTTTGCAATTGCTTCAAACTGTATTACAATCTGCAAATCTTTGGCTCTTCTGCGCACTCTTTAAAATTAGTGCAATAACAGTGGGGAAGAATTTACAGGCGAAAATAAAGGAGCATCTCCTTGTACAAACCTTCACTTTGCAAAAGCATAACTTGATTTGGAATATAGCTGAGTTGCTCAAGCACTGCTCACAGTGTAGCCCACAGTCGACTGATGAGTACCGCTAACTTTGGATTTCATCAAATTCCTTCATAAAAATTTTGTGCTGAAAAATCCGAAAGGACCCATCTATTTTGCTCTTTCTGAGGCGGCAAAAAATGCAATTTTTTGACATTTTTGATTTTGTTCGACGTTGACAAACCAGGAAATCTTTTCGTTCTTCTAATAGCAGTTGTTCTAGCTCTAATCTCACTATATAGAGCAAAAGTTCCGCGATTGCAATATGTTTATAATTTTTATGGGACTTGAAGGGACCATAAAGACATGTTATGTTTGAGCTAGAAAATTTGTAGGTTCAAAATTTTTCTTAAATCATATCTCGATGAGGGTTTCGTAGCACAAGTCTCCAGCAAACATTATGTATGTTTCAAAAGAAATTTTTTTGGCTGTAGATTTCACCGCGATAGAGCAAAAACGAAAATTTCCACATTTGTTTCACTGTCTTTTCAAAGTACGCAACCACGCAGCGAACAAAGATCTACGTAAACGAAAATACGCCTGAAAACTAGAAGAAAAGAGCTTTTAAATGTGGTTTCTTCCTCCAAAATCGGCAGTTCAAAAAAAGGCATCGAAAACGGGTAGAACTTTTGAAACAACCCAATAGCTATCACATTATATAATAAATTGTCTTTATCCTGTTATCCTAACGTAAAACTGCTTTGAAAAAAATGAAAATTAGCACACTCGCGTGTTTCTGAGTAAAGATCTTCGGGGGAGTGATCCCCTCCCCAGCGTTCCCCTTGTGCATAGCAGGGATGGCCACTGGGGATCACTCCCCTAGGGCAAAGGACGATATGCAGCTGATAGCTACAGCGTTTATGGAGAGCTGGCACAATTTGCGGCTTCTATTATGCGTAGAAACGCTGGTTAGAGTGTGCGCGCCCCCCTCCCCCTTTTTTTTCGGCAGCATAAAGTCTTCTACCCGTTTTCTGCAGAGACATCTGGACTTTTATTGTTGTACATTATTATGCTAAAATAGGCAGCTTGAGCGCAAGTGAAAAGCATCCATGACAATTACAGGACTATATAGGGCCTAGCACATATTATTTTGGCTGTGCCAAGCGCATAACGAGGCGCGCATTCCGCAACGCCTATATTATTTGCCGATAACGAAAACTGAAGATAAGCAGCTGTCAAAAGATGAGAATACAAAAGAAAATTACCATGGAAAAGCGAAGGAAAAGTGATGTCCCCGCTCGATCCTCTTGTGCATAAGAGGGTTCCCTTCCCCTACTCCCAGGGGATCCCTTCGCCGATAATGTCTGCGTGCATACGAGGGTTCGCCTGGGGAGGGGAGGGGAGCCCCAGCGGGGATCATTTCAATAGTAAAACGCACATCCCCTCCCCGCGGGGATGTACGTGCATACGGGCCTGAAGCTTTCCGCTGTATAACCGTTTTTGTATTGAGGCGTACACCTGTGAACTAGAAAGAAGAGCTCAAAATGGTTCCTTTGACCCAAATGTAACCGGAAGTATTTTTGTGCCTCACAAGTAGGTTATTTCACTATAGCATGACTTTTTGCAGAACCTATATTTTCAGTGCAAGCTCCAATGCTGATCACTGTGACGTTAACTGCAGCTCTGAAAAAGTTTGGAAGAGATTTCAGAGAAGATTAAGAAAGCACGAAGTATGTGATAATAATTCTTCCTGCTAAAAATATAGCTTCCCCGCGCAATGCCGACTATCACGAATGTTAGGATTAAGGAAATGAGCATAAAGAAAATTAGCACCACCTTATCTTTGGTAGCGGTGGATTGTCTACTCGGACAAGAAAACTATGATTCTCGAGAACATAGGCTCGTTGCGTTGTCCTGTCAGTTGTTATACAGAGACCGTAAAATTTTGTTTTGGCCAATTTAAATGCTTCCTTCTATGAACATTCAGGGTGATGTGCCTGCAGCGGCTTTATTTTCCTATTCTTCAAAATGAGACGTCGAAGTTACTCATGATACAACATTTCACGATGTTGTCGATAGCAGGAGAAGTCAGAGGAAAAGTTTGCAGCAGTAACATTCCTCAAACGCTTCCGCAAACGCCTTTAGCCTTCGAGGGTCTAAATAAAGTTGAATTTTTTGAAGGGGTTCTATGTAGCACGATAGAGATTAATACGAAGTTTGGGCTTACTCTCATTGTTACTATGTTTCACAACTTTCGAATTTCCTGATATCTTTAACCTCTTTCAGAGCTCGCTGCCGGCACCCTGGTCGAGTCCAAATTCTGAATGATCCGTTTTTTGGTCGCTTCTTTTTGGTTCTTGCTTTTGCTACGCATAGAGAGCATGGTATTTGCACATTCTAGACAGGCAATGATGCTTTTTGAGCGTTGCAACCATATTCGATGAGAAACACTTCTATTAGTGCTACATAGGCCTTGCTCGGCAGCAAATAGTCAGAACTTAACCCAGCCATATCAAACAAGCTATATAACAAGCTCGGACCTGCCTTAAAACGCTGATTACAAATATATGTTTATTGTCTACCAAGCGACTATTTAGGAGAAGTTACGAGTGTTTGAATGTGCGATTTGTCAAGTGTTGACACTTGTTCCACGAAATAGCTTTCAAAAATACTGATTAAGGTTTTTTGGTAAATGTGCTTCTTCCTTGTGATGAAAATAACCACAGCCATTGTAAATTCGCGCCATTAAGTTGCCTTTTAAGGAATTATGTTTGTTGAAACTCGAAAAATTTCTCATATTTTAACGCGCTACAAATCCCCCTAGATGGTCGCTTGGCACATAAAAACATGTATTCAGAACCAGCGTTATAAGGCAAGTCCGATGATATACAACTTTTTTGAAATGGCTGGATTAATTTCCAACCATTTCCTCGTCAGCAACTTGGGATAACGTTCAAGTATGTTATTTAGGGACGTCCGACGCGAATTGGTTGTTCCATGGGCTATGTTGCACTAGGATTTATGTGCTTGTATGAACCCAAATTCACACGAACAAGGCCAAATGTTTGATTCTAAAGCGATTCTTATACTGATAATTGTTAGTGACATGCATTTTATCTCAGCTCATTAGCTGACTTGCTTCGTGATTGCAATAAATTTGAAGTAGCTTGCTCTTAAATTTGAACAATCCTCTTGATTATCTCAACAAAATCATTTCTTTCAAAAATAAAAGTATTAGGTTGTTGCATAAGTCCTGTCCGATTTTTTTGCCTCATGTTTGAAGCAGCTGTTCCAAGAGAATTTCATCTCTAATGCGGTAATGTTAGTATCATTAGAAAGTGCTTTTCTTGCGCTTTCTAACGCACATGTCAAATTTCGACAATTTCTTAGTGTAAGGAGATTTCAGGCCTAAAATTTCCAAGTGGCCGAGATACGTTCTCACCCTAGAAATATGTTCTTGCGAGAAAATCTCCACAATGCGCCCTTCAGGTCAAGTTTTTTAATTGGTTGCGGAATAAGGGTGTAATAGGCTAGCATAGTCTTGCTAGTAAAATTTATTGTCTTAATTTTCTGTATAGATGTTTTAAATACTATAACTTTCTGCGAATAGAAGTAACCGATGACTTCAAAGTTGGAGGTGCTAGGGTAAAGAAAGAGCTAGCAGGGCCCATTTACCAATTTCTTTTCGGCGCTCACGTCGACTGTAAAATTTTCATAACTCTTAAATAGGCATGCACACATGCGCTAAAGCAAGGTCAAAAAGTGGCTAATTTTTTGTTCGGTCAAAAAAATCTCTCGGCAACGCAGACCCTATGGGCTCTCTCAGTTGCATAATACTCTACGAAAATTTCTCTATCTGTCCATTGTTAGATAAGATGCCTGCCGATTCTCATAAGGGAGCATTGCCATGTCAAAAAAGACAAGTTTAAAGGAAAACCTGGTGAAGTTTATAAGTTTTTGCTTCTTTTTTAACAAGGATTTTCGCAGGTTCTAATATGTATCTGATAGCCAAGGAATTGCTCAACACAAGGAAATTAAAATCTTGGAAAGAAGTTGAATTTGAAAGATATGACATTTTGAACTCAAAAAAATCATCGGACAGAACTTATGCAACAACCTAATATTTGATTCAGACAGCCCCTCACCATTGTCCCTGCAAGAGTATTGCCTTCGCTCTGGTCAAATCATCTACATCACTGCAAAATTACGCATTGCGCTCACCATCCAGTTGATATATGTCCTGCTTTAGGATGCGCACTTGACATTGTTTAGAAATTCGCATTCCGATGGCAGGATCAAATTATCTTATTTCATTCTAAAACTCAACAAAGAAAAGAATTTGTACAAGGGCACGTGATCCTAGCTAAACTCCGCCTATGTCGGTACGAACTATATCGAATGTGCCCAACTAGGAGTTGTTTTCCGAGTATTTTATGAAACTTGCTATCAGAAAAGTTTCCTATCATCTGCCACTTCAAAGCAGACAGGAATAATATTAGAAAGCAATGATGAAATACTGATTGGAATTGCTAAATTATTAGGAACGATTGGTACATTGCCTCAACGTTGAACTTGTGCAGCATTCTCAACATAATCAACATCAAATTTGTAGAACGAGAATCTTGGCAGAGGCCGAAAATTATGCCTGGAGATTTTCCAGACATAATTATAAAAAAGAGGAAAAGTTTTTTTTCGTGCCTGCCGGAATTCGTGTTGCCAGATTTTGTAGTTTCAGCATCGAGGATTACAAGCAAAACAACATATAATACAAGACATCTAAACGGCGGTGATTAAAAACTGAATTTGATTATTAATCTTTACAAAAGTATCCTTTTTGAAAACTGTGGGCATGACCTAAGTGTCGGGGCGCAACGGTGCACATTCGGCTGGTTGTTGTGCAACAATGTGCTACGTATTCAAAACCGATGCTACATTATCCGCAGTTCTACCAGTTCATAAAAAAATAGTCGATGAGTACTAGTCATAAGTGGTAGAATAGATCTAGGTTTCTTTATGTTACTGTTGTTGTCAATTTGTTTCTTTAAGAACCTCTAACTCGTTATGCTAATGGTTAGGCATATCATGTGGACAAAATAAAGAAATAGTACATCTAAAAATGGTATTGCTGAAGATGGATAAAGCTGCTCGGCACGAAAATTCAATGTTGGTTACGTGGGATTTGGTGAGAGCTTCGACACCGTGCTTTTCTTTTTTGAGATTTTATCAGTGTGCTTTGGAGAATTCAGTAACAGGTTCAATTCTATCGTCTAGCTTCACCATTCAATCAGCACGTGCAACCGTGGACACAAAAAAACATCACGTAACAACCCAAAACTTAATAAAAACAATCAAAACATATGCAATGAGAGTGAAACAATATGTTAGAAATACAACTTAAATCAGCATGAGCGATAAAATGAAAAGGCAAGCATTTCGAAACAAAACAAGCTAGGTTGTGGGATGCCCGACCTCAGATTGTTCTTCAAATTTTGCGTTCTGTTCACGTTTCACAAATTATTTTACATTGACAAAATCATTTCCAAGTGCTTAAAAAGAGTAGGACGTGCCAATCCCCATTAGGCAATTTGGCACGGTAGGAAGGCTTGTCACTAGGGTTAAGCGTCACGCCTACGTTGATTGTTTGCTCTCTCTTTAATCTTCTCGCCCTCTCCGACAGTGCTCATAAGCAGCGCAAACCCTTAGCCTGCGAGCGCATAGATGTACGAGACCTGATCCGATTGAGACAGTTTATACGTACTCTGTTTTATAGTTTGATATGCTTGGCCCTACGCACACACCCACGCGTAGGCCGAACATCTGCAATGATTACCGTCTAGTGTACGCACTCACGCCAGTTAGCGCTGGTGAAGGCTCGGCGACCTATTGTCCTCTGCCATCCAGCTTTTGAAGCGGCTTTCTTGTCCAAAGGCAAAATTGGTGCAGTGCCAATTAGGTAACAGCTGTACCAATATGGGTGCTATTCTACCTCATGTTTTCCCCATCAACATCGTGCCTGTCCAGAACTGTCTTTGAAACATTTGCAGAAAGCAGAATGTTCCCCGCGATGTCTCGCATCCATGTAATGTCAAACGTAGAAAGCTTCTCTTTATTCCACGAAAAACACCAGTTCTGGCCTGTAGCAACAGCATTTGCCGTTGTCAAAATAAACGATTGCTATTCTTTCTATGAATGGGTAAAACTATGCGCAAACTCGCTTACTCTTTTCAAAAGTTATAAAATAGGTAATAGCGTTGCATTCCTTTTCCCTTACTGATGCAGCAAAACTAGCAAACCTGCGTGTTTTGAGATCCGCTCTCCAATGGAAGCACAGGCGAAAAACACAATTCAGATACATTATAGAATTATGTAGTAGATGTCTTAGACTGGACTTTTGAAGTTTTCCAGACAGCTTTCCTGTTTTGCTGAATCAAAAATTTATCAAGACACTCCACTCAGGTAAAAAGGCTTCTCTATGTACCATTTGATTCAACTGGCTTGGCATCGGCAAAGGCGGGACTTCGTGACCTAATTAAGGCTAGGTGATGATCAGAGAGCACTCGCGCGAGAGAGAAGCAGGTGCGTCGCGGGCGAGAGCGGCCTCAATTAGATCACGAAACCCCGCCCTAAATGTGCGGAGCCAGTTGAATCAAATGATAGCTCATTTTGACATATCGAAGCATATATAGCTATAAGCTGTAAATTCTTTGAAAATTCGAGTATTGAGAGTGATGTACAAGGAACGTCACGAACACCTTGGTTTACAATCGCGAGCACATGTTCAACGGTAAGATAAAAGTTACGCTTATGCTCCACATTATCAAATGTACTCCACATTATCATTTTTAAGATTGCTAAAGATCCATCATTCGCGCAGCACATCAACAAATTTTCATTTGACTTGAACTATAATATCGACAAGACTGCACTTTGTCGTGTATGCTCTGCATGCACGACAAAGTGCAGTTATATAAATTGACGGTAATGATTTTCAAATAATAAATCAGACATTCCGTTTCTGGTTACACATGACACTAAGTGCTAAACGGGAACTTTTCTATGTGATATATGTATCTCAAACTGCCACCCACCTGGCACAACTGTTGACATTGTTCTTGAGCGAAGTACTCATGAATGTAATGCAAATGAAGAGAGGCAGTGAAAGAAAAACAACCAAGCGTCAAAAAATTGTTGTAGAAAAAGTGAACATGACGTATGCTGTCTAGTACACTTTTTGGCAACCGGATACAGCTTCAAGCCATCACGATACGTATGCAAGACATATCCAATCACGCACGAGTACGTCTTAGTAACTCATAGTCAGAGGAAATTTGCACCTTATAAGGGAATGTTCAGAAATGGAAGAAGCCAACCAAACAAGCTGCATCCATTCGATGCAGCACTCAACGCTGATTTCGAATCTATATTATATATCTGCTTAGCGCCTATGTGGGTGAAGTTATAAGCCGTTAAAGCCGTTATTTTGGCAAGAAATCTGCATGGAAAGCGCAAATTTGACAGAACAGAACCATGTTCGGCTCAGTGCTGGGCTATATTGTTAAATAAAGGAGAGCTGAAAGTAAGACAATGGTTCGTCCATCTCCTTGTTAGCTACCATTAAAAAAGAATTTTTATTCTATATATACTTTTCTGACTACCGCAAACTTTCAGCACCCTCCAAAAAGTGATTCATAGGGTTGAACGATATTGCAGTTATAAAATTTAGGGCTTAAGCAAGTGTCCTCTATAGTCTCGCAGCTACTCTAGCTACACTGTTATGAAGGTTCTATACTGGCTTATGAAGTGCAACGAGGTAAAATGTATGTTTGCTTTATGAAGTACGTAAGTAATCAAATGAACTTATATAGTCCGCAATTATGAAATATCACCTTGGCGGGGCTAAAATTACGCACAATGTGTCGCGTCTGCATAATTTTCTTTGTGAGTAACCTTCTTCTCAATCCAATTCAACGGCGATAAGACCGGGTTTCAGTTCTTTGCATTGACATTTGCCGATGACTGCGTTCTAGACATGCACCCCAGCCATGGCTTTGATAGAGTTATCCATGTTA